AAAGCCAGCCTGCAAGGATAGATCTTACTGATCCCAAGTTGGTAAGGATCTGCCCTGGTGCTGACAGCCCTTGTGCTCCAACCTGGAGGCTGCAGCCCTCCGGCACCCACAGCTGGGCACGTGACGCAGCCAGGCTCCCCGTGAGGGCCCTGCATCCCGTGCCAACACGGTGGCCCCAGCACCAGCGTATGGGCAAGGGCACCCAACAGCCCAGGAGGCGAGGGCTGCTGCTCTCCTGAGCGCACAGGGTCCTGGGGCCGGCTCTCCAGTTCACCTGCCCACATGCTTCTGCTGCTTAGCCAACAGGAACTGCATGCAAGACATGCAATATGAACAATATGAAAGACACACAAAGAGGACTGTACCTAAATAACTGTTGGGTATAGTCGTGAGCGCTACAGAGTACAGGGAATGCACCTGAATCTTGAAATCGTATGTAAACATTTACGTATGTATTAAAAAAAGCAATTCACTAGGAAAAAATAAAACTTAACAGAAGAAATAGAGAGTGTCATATATACTCCATAACTGGAAGGAAAAATACCAACATTAAGCATTTACTGAGTTTTAAGCATGCGCTTACTTTCCTTCCATTGACTGAAAGGGAAGCTAAATGGTGCTCAAACGCTCATGAGCTTTTCCCCACAAGGGGACTTTCCTCAGTCCCTACCTGAGCCATATCCATATCCCAGCTCATAAATAAAATAAGATATACACCATCTGAGATATTCTGATCTCTCATCCCACGTGACAAGGAAGTTTGGTATAAATGTCCAGCATTTCCCAAACCATCATTATATTTCAAAGAATGAATGTAAAGAACAAGAGAGTAATTCTCATTTGGGTTCTAATGGGAACGTGTGTTTCAAAACAAAAGCTATTTCAGCTGTCTGCCTTCTTTGGGGGGGGGAGGGCTGATATATTTACGCAGCTGCAAAAGGAGCATGGTGTCACTGAACATCAAAAATGGTGGGAGTTTAAATTTCAACATGTTCAGGGAATAAATGAACATCAAACTACCGCTACAAATACCTGGCGGGAACATGAAATGCGTTCAGTTTTCTTTGCAGCTAGGAAAACGACATAAGAGGCCTTTAGATCTAGCCTATATTTCAAGTACTCTACAAACGCAGCAAGACACCAATCCTAACCACCTCACAGGTGGACCATTACCATAATGACAAAAAAGATGCTCAAGTAAAGATGCTCAAGTTTTAATCAAGTAGGAAGTAGTCTATGTTGACTACTTCATCATCATGCAAAAGAAATGACTCAAACATGCTAGGACAATTTTTATCAAATATTACTTCTTTTCACCCATTTATTTTGAATCCAGCCCCACAAGAGTCAAGCACTTCAGCAACCACCTAAATTTTCCATCAGCTAAAATTAAGCTTGTATTTAAATGTTGAGTTGGGACCTTCAGTGTATTTTATGAACTAACAGCCTGCAAGCAGCTTGTTTATTACAGAAGCTGGCTGCTGCTCTAATTAAGCAACTGGAAGATGATAATAAAATGTAAACCAGAGAGGATGACTTGTCTTGCTTGCCAGACAGATTACAACTAGCAAAGCTCCATAAACAAGAACGAAGGACTTGAAAAATCAGAGCCAACATGCTTACTTGTTGACTATGGCCAGGCTACACTTAGTACAGGATTTAAAAATAAAGTTTCTGAGCATGTTTTGTCACTGCTATGATCTCAGTGTAAGCCAGTTAAAAAAGCAGTGGAGTGGCTCTAATTTACGTTTAGCCACAATTGCTTCCCAAGCCTGTTGGGTAGCTCAGAATAGCAACGCAGCCTTACGAGCCAGAAAGCTGATGAAGGCCCTGCTGGAAAACCCTCTGGCCTCCAAGTGGATTCAAAGGAACTAGGCTGCTTACTTAGCAAATCTTGCTTGCAATTGTGCCTCAAAGGCCAAAACACTTTGCATTTTCTCCCTGCTGACCCAAACTAAACGACATTCCTTTGTGAGCACATGTAAAAATAGACAGACCTTCCAAGTGACCTGAGCTTGCAGGTCACCTGGCATTCTCCTCTGCTAGAAATCCCTGTGTCACTCACCCAGTTGCCATTAAGTACTGTAATTATTGTTTTGTGCCTTGTAGACTAAAAACAGGAATACCACTTTCCCTTAGACACACCATCAGAAGAGAACATAAAAGAACACCCCAAAATGGCAGCACCACCTCCCTGCACCACAGACCAGCACAAGCTGGCCCTAGGGAAGGGTCTCCAGGGGCCCATATGCTGTGACACAGACCCTTAGCACACAAGGATACCAGACACCCATGAGGTCCACACCTCTGCCATGCCACCCTGCCACGCTCACACCAAGCCCAAAACAGAAAATTGGGGCATTTCCACACTTTTTTTTTCTGGTCTCGGCCAAGCTGTGGGAATTACCTAACACCACCCCGGCGCTCCAACGGCCTCGCCAGCTCGGCGTCCGCCCCAGCCCCGCGGCCGACAACTGAAAGCCGAGCGTTGCCAGCGGAGCGCCGCACTCCCCTCAACGGCCTCGCCCCCTAACGGCCGCGCCCGTTAACGGCCGGCGCGGCGCGGCGCGCGCGTGCGCACTGTG